CTCGTATCACTGGTATGCTGCATAGACATCGTCATGATCTTCCAAAAGGACTTAAGTTGCTTTTCTTTAACTCATTGTTTTTATCTCATCTGAATTACTGCCATTTAGTTTGGGGGACGACGACAAAAAAGTCTGCAGAAACTATTTCTATTGCAGAAAAGAGTGTTACGAATTGTGTGTAACGCGCCTTATAATTCTCACACTGACCAACTTTTTAGAGAGTTGCGTGTAGTGAATATATTTTATCACTATGCTTTCAGACTTAGCATAAAGTATAAACAGGAATGTCGCGTGTTAAACAGTTCTTTATTGTCATTATCATCACTTCGAAAAAAGCTGCAACATATTCCACCCGTCACTCGGATGTTTGGGCAGTAGAAACATCACGAACAGATTATGGCCTCCAAATGATTAAAATAACCTTGCCAACATTACTGAACACTCTTATGGTCGAATCTTCTAATATATGTGCGCTTAAGGATTATTTTATTTCAAATTAAACAATACTTACTGCTTTTGATTAGCTAGCAGATTATTGCTTTTGTTTTGTTAATTTGTTGTTGTTAAGTATTTTGTATTATATAAATTCTTGTGTATGACTTCCCCAATGCTGTGTACCTGTGGGGGGGGTTGAGGACCAGTCAAGCTGCTTTCACAGTTTTTTTCCTCAGCTGCCACCATACTTGTATGGTAAATAAAGTAATTATTATTAGGTCCAGGAACGAGTCAAAATTGTTGTCGTACATCTAGCTGTTGGGAATCGAAAATGTCAAATTTGCTGAACGGAAGACAAAAGGCCCGCGATTTCTTTTTCGGCCCGACTATTCACTGCTGTCATGTTCGTACCATTAACCTCTTCGCTACCGGTGTACACATTCGTGAACATCCACATTTATGCGCTGTACCTCAAGGAGGGATGTTTGGCGGAATTCAAATTTGGCGCGTTTAGAAGAGGTGGTTGTAGTTGCCACCATACCCAAGAGGCGGCGCCACCTGTCCAGTCAAAGCGCCTTCAGGAAAAGTTGAAATGGCGGCATCCAGCTCTAGAGTCGGACAGCGACCACGAGGTAAGTTTTGACAATTATTGTACCTTTTTTCTCACTCCTTGGGAAAAGAGTCATTTGGTAATGAAGTTTATAACTCCCGAAGACGACATGAATTATTTCTAGGCCAAAAAGCACAACGGTTGATTTCAAGCGCATCTTTTTACAATGTGTCACATTTGTGGACAAAGGTTGTGAACATCGCCGCTTCTCTTTCTGGCTTGTTCTCAGCAGCCAGATTCCTGACCGATGATGAGATCGCTGCCATGTTGGAAGAGAGCGACGCGGACCTTTCAGAGTCTGATGATGATGATGATCGTGCTTTGCCGTCATCGGCAAGTGGTCATGACACATCCGAAGATGAAGATGAACCTGAACCGGACACCACCAACCGGCCCAAAAAGCAGAAAAAAAGCTCCTGGAAGCCAGGAACGTGAGTTCTTGCACTTTGTTGCACTAAATTTTCTCGCACGTCTATTCATAGCATCTTTCTTTCAAAATATTTCTAGTTTGACGTATGGTTAACCTACATAATATCTGATTTTCCAGATTCACAAACCCTGACATGACAGACAGTCACGGTCAAGCAGACGTCGGTTTTCGGGAGCTTCTGTCCCCACATCAGTATTTCGCCAAATATTTTCCAATGGATTTTTGGAGGGAACTCGCTGAACAAACAAATTTGTATTCTGTTCAGAAACGAAATCACCGGTCAGTGAGAACAGACGTAGTTGAGGTGAGGAAGCTCGCTGGCATACACCTACTGATGGGAATTATGAACCTTCCTCAAGTCCAGCTGTACTGGTCACGAGCAACACGCACACCTTTTGTTGCTGACCACATGACCCGAAACAGATTCTATGAGCTGCGCAATAACCTGCACTTTGTGGACATCTCCGCAGTTACAGCACAACAGAAAGAAGACAGGTTACGCCTTGTGCGGCCAATCGTTAGCAGCTTTCAAAGTGCTTGCCGCTCATTGCCGCGCACAAAAGAATGCTCAATCGATGAGCAGATCATCCCATTTTCGGGAAGGTGTGCATTTAGGCAATACCTTCCTTCTAAGCCAAATCCACTTGGTCTGAAGAATTTTGTCTTGGCTTCCCCCGACGGCCTTGTTTTAGACTTCCTGGTTTACACCGGCAAAAATACAGTGACTCCTGAAGACATGAAGTTGTATGGCCTGGGTGGCGCAGTCGTGAAGCACCTTTCAACAACCGTAAGCGACCAGAAGGCGCACCTGTTCACTGACAGGTTTTTCACAGGACTGTCAATTGTGGACTACCTAACTGAGAAGCAAATGTTTTTGACTGGCACTGTGAACGCTAACCGCACACAAGGAGCAGTCGGAAATTTGCCGAGTGACAGGTCAATGAACCGTGGTGAAAGTGCTTGCCTCGTACGCGAGGACGGAAAAGTCTGTCTTGTGAAATGGAAAGATAACAAAGGAGTTCTTTTCTTGTCGAGCGCAGTTGGGTGTGACCAAATTGGTATGTGCAAGCGGTGGTCCAAGGAAGAAAAAAAGAAAATTACTGTTCCTCAGCCAGCTATTGTCTCACTTTACAACAGGTGCATGGGCGGTGTGGACTTGGCTGACAGGTATGTGGCGTACTACAGAATTAAGATCAAAACAAGAAAATGGACCATTCGATTCTTCACGCACTTCCTTGACCTTGCCGTGTCCAACGCCTGGATTGAGTACCGGCGGGACGCCCAAGAACTGGACATTCCGAAGAAAGAAATCCTTCCCTTACTTCAATTCAAGCAAGATATTGCAGAAACATTGATCAAGGCGAATTCTACAGAAAACAGCAGGACTGAAAGAGCAAGCAACGAGCCCACAATCAACAGAACAAGGCCTGTGCAACTCCCTAACAACGATACCCGCAGCGACCACTTCGATCACTTCCCAGAATATTGCCAGCTCGAAAATGCAATGCGGTGCAGGAAAAAAAACTGCAAAGGAAGAACAAGGGTGAGGTGCATGAAATGCAATATTTTTCTGTGCCTTCAGAAGCAAAACTGCTTCGCCGAGTTTCATAACGCTAGGCACTGATTCCGACATTCGTGGTCGGCCCGTCCATCGTGAACACAACTTATGTCCACGTTTGTGTACATACTTGTTTCAGCTAAAATAAATCAAATTTCTTGACTATTTTTTTTCTATGCATTGTTAAGAGGACGCTTAATAAAAATAGCAAAAAAAATCGGTTGTTTTCAATTGCTTCTTAGGTCGGTAGTGAAGAGGTTAAAGGCGCGTTCACACCGGCGATGCGATATAGTCGCGCGATAACTTTCATCGCAAAAGCGACAAGTATGGGAAAAAAGCGAAGCGATTCGCTTGCTGACCCGACTTTTTGCGACGCGATCTAGTCGCAAAGCGGCTGAGCTAATCAACGGCGTTCGGACCGGGAGTTTTTCAGAAACGACTCGCCTACGAAGGCGTTGAACTCGCTCATCGCGGACGCCAGTGTGACCATCTAATTTTTCTGCGATGCGATCTCGTCGCATCGCGCGACTACATCGCCGGTGTGAATGCGCCTTTACAGAACTTTAGCATGTCATTTTTTTTCCCTCCAAAATTACGATACCCGATGACAGATACGGCACCCCGGCTGCCCTCCCTCCGGCGGCCTTAATCATGCATCAATAAAAAAAAAATAAAAAAAACAACAACAAAAAAAAAAGATCTGCTGGGATAACTTCGCTGTTTACAAACCTGAATTAGCAGTGTGCTCAAATCAACTTCTGGAAACTTTGCAGCAACCGCATCACGGACTGAGCTCTCGGTCCAGCCTTCGTCTACCAATTCGACGATCCGTCTAAACTCCAGATAACTTGTAAGAATTCGCATAGCGCACAGCACAGCCCCTTTCACGGGGCTGTGCTGTGCGCAGGGCAGTGAGGCCAACGGTCACTTCACTACAGCCACAAAATCCCGGCCACCATGATTCCAGCTTTGAAACGTGCTTTCGCAATACGCTTGCGCAAGAAGACACGCCGACACGCTTCAAAGCAAAGAGCTCACACCAACCCGTGCTCGTTGCCTTCACTGCCCGCTCGTCTGATAGCGTGCTGCTCGGTCCGGCCAGCCGCCCCGAAACAAAGAAGCCGGGAGGAGCGCGCCAAAAAGAGTACAGCCGATAGCCGACGAAAGATTTTGTAAACAACTCCTAGATACGGGGAGAGCAGCGACAGCGCGAAAATGGCGAGCGCAGCATCACCTGATGCCGCAGCGCGACGCTACGCTATGCTTGAGATGCAATTTTAAGCGCTTAAAATATGTAGCATAATAAATAAAGCCTAACACTCGATTATAAAATAATAATTAGATTTTATGATAGTTTAATATTTTAGTTATCTCAACCACTGATATGTACTGTACCAAACGCGGTGCCCTACTCTGCTGAAATCAGTGAAACAGTGACATAAGCCCACTGACATCGTGTTTCCCGTGTATGACCATCCCATGACATACACAGGCGTACACGTCATTCTCTGCGTAAGCACTTGAAGGAATATGACTTTATGCTGTTATCCGCTGTGCGCTTACTTTGATGTGAAGTTCATAAATGTCGTGAACCATATAGGTCGCGTACACACATGTGATGGAAACTTCAATGTAGTATGTGGCCTGGACGATAGTGGGCAGTCGTTCACTGGTTTTGAAGCATACAGACGACACCTATATCGCAAGCACCACATCTCCTCATCGAGGGAAAACGCCACTGATTGAGCTGAGGCAAGTCCCAACAACAAGGCACCGCCTGTTCCAATCGATGGCATTTCTGGTACAACAAACTTCAGTGACAAGGAGCAGCCTGAAGCGAATGACAGTGCTGCTGCTGGGACAAGTGTCGACCAATCAATCGGTGCCGACCACTCAGTCGGTGCACATGATGATCTCATGGACGACTCCAGTGACCCCTGCGACACATCAAACCCGGAAGAGGAAAGATGCTTCCTCGGATAATGAAAAAGAGCTTCATCCTCTTTTATCTCAAGATAACTGAGGGCTTGAAACTACCTAAGAGTACAGCTGATGAAATTGTCGGATTGGTGAAAGTGCTGTTCGCATCAGCACTTCAGCACACTGCAGCTGAAATTGAAAAAAGCTTAAGCTGCACAACCTTGACAAATATATTTCCGGCCACATTCTGCACACTCTTCGATGCAGATACTGTTTTGGACAATATGCTTGCTGGTGCGCAAACCAAATATCAACGAGAAGCCTGTGTGAAGGCAAGTCTTTCTTATACAGCAGTTAAGGAAGTGAAACTGCAACAAGGTGAACAACCAAAAGAATCTTTCTGTTACATTCCTGTAGAAGATCTGCTCAAAAATCTCCTCACTTCTACAAAAACCTACAACAGTGTCACCGAGCCACTCAGCAAACAAGCCTATGAGATACTAACTGACTTCTGTGGTGCCCGCTTTCTTCAGGAGAAACAGCAACAAATGCTCAAGGATGACAATCAGAGTACTATATTTATTTTGCTTAACACTGATGAGGTAGAACTGAACAACCCACTAGGAGCAGCTGTAGGAAAGCACAAGATTCTTCTCTATTTCAGCATCCTGAATCTTCATGCCAGGCATCACTCGAAGCTAGTAGCAATTCACCTACTGCTGATTGGGGCCTACCCCACTGCCCAACACTATGGGTTAGAAGCTGTGATGACACCCTTGATTAAGGACCTGAACTTTCTCGGGAGCCACGGATTACAAGTCGGTGATGAGAAGTTTGGTGTGTCGGCTGTTGCCATAGTTGGCGATAAACTCTCAATGCATCGTTTGATGGGCATTTCATGCTCATTCAGTAGTGGACGGATTAGCAGGTACTGCTTAGCATTGTTTGCGAATCTAAAGCAACTCGTCACGCCATCAGAGTATGTGAGACGTACCCCTTTGTCGCATGCTAGCCATCAGGCTGCGTTTCTTGTCGGTCCTTCGCATGATGCATTGTATGGCATTACCGCCCTCTCTCCACTCGCTTCTTTAGAAAGATTTGATGTCACGCTGCAACTCCCTCCCAATGCTATGCACGATATCCTTGAGGGAGGAATTGCTTTTGTGCTTAAGACTGTACTGATGGGTCTGGTTGGATCTGGTGCGATCAAGAAAGAGGATTTGTGTCGGGTTGCCGAATATCCATATGGGGTTCATGACAGGAAATCCAAACCAGTCGCTCTGACCAAAAAAGTCATCACACCATCAGGTCAACTGCGAGGGACAGCGTCGCAGAAGTGGTGCTTGTACAGGCTTTTTCCTCACATATTTGGAGACCTCATCCAAGAGAATGATGAGCACTGGGAAATTTACCTCTTGTATCGACAGATTATTGACATCGTTTTTGCGAACAAAATTCCAAGGGATTGTATCTTCTACCTTGCGGTCCTGATCTCGGATTTCCTCACCTTGTTTGTGGAGCAGTACCCGGAGAAGCACATGAAGCCTAAACTCCATTACTTGTTGCATTACCCGGAATACATTTCACAATTCGGCCCACCTCAACGCTATTGGGCGATAAGGCTCGAAGCAAAACATCCATATTTGAAAGCGGTCGCGTCCAAAGTTAAGAACTTTAAGAACATTGCCAAGACACTATCACACAGGCATCAGCTGCTCCAAGCTTATGAACTTGGTTCAAGCATGAAGAATGAAAGTATTCAGGTGACAGGGATGGAGGTCGTGGAAACGGCATCGCTGCTAGAAGGGATCACAGCTGCACTCCCAGATCTGTTGTGCAATGAGGCCATGCTTACTTGTGTGGAAACTGCAGTGTTTAACCGCTGTAACTATAGAGCCGGTGACGTATTTGTCATCACAAATGGTAAAACTCCGCAGTTCGGGAAAATTAATTTTGTTTTGTTCCAAACGGCACGCTAGCTTTACTTGCTGAACAGCTAGAAACGGTTGAGGTGTCGAGGCACAGATGCTCACACCTAGTTCTGCCCTCTGGGAGGAACATTTGCCTAATCCCAGGTTTTCAGTTTGACTACTATCATCTTGACTGTTACGTATATGAAAATCACCTAGAGGTTGTACCCCATTTCGAAATATTTGCATAGCGATTGCTAAACCTCGTACAATGCAGCCTATGTTTGTTACAGTTTTCCTGCATTTTACAGTGCCTCTTACACTTTATAACTTTTAAGTGCTTAGAAGAAAACTCTACTTTTACTCTAAAAGTTAGGAATGGGCTAGGTATTGCGGACAGAGCTAAATTGTGCTGCATAATCTGTTGCATAGAAGAAGTTTGAAACTTTGAATGTGAAATCGAGACGAAAATGATTGTAACCTGTCTTACCAACTTGGCTTTGTTTAGGGGTTGATGAAACATAAGCAAAATGCGGTGCAAGAAGACAGAGCTGACATTTCTTTATTCAGGTCATCAAGGTACAGAACACTTGAGCACTCCAAAACAATTAAAGCTTTATTTCAGATTTGCAACTGGGATAGTGGTGTCGTGACTGCAAGGCAAAGGGGCGAGAGGGGGTGCTGAGCTTGACCCCGCGCTTTTCTACAGAACCGTTTACTATACCTGTCTGAAATTTCTGAGAGGCTGGAGCTCACCCGCCCCCCCCCCCCCCCCCCTCACCCTCCCCTCCCCCCCTCCCTCCCTTGTTTCGCAGCACCAAGCTGGGAACACTCAAATCGGCATGTACTTGTAGAATGTTTTTAAACAGTGAAACCGAATACTAAACCACGTGAGGATGTCACTGTATGTGACGTCGCCGATGGAGCCTTCGGCTTCTCAAAGCCATAAGGGCACAGCCTGTCCTATTCAACCCGATAGCGTTCAGACTCGTGCAGCAAAAACTCTAGCGTCCGCCGTCGTCCGTCCGGTGTCTGACGTTGACAGTAAAGCAAGCCAGGCAAAAAAGTTGGTACCTGCATGTACGAGGACGGTCCGATAAGTACTTAGCCTCACCGCCCAATAGCGCCAGTATCGCAAGAGAAATTTACTATCGTGTAGTACATTCTCGTAGACGGCTGCTATAAAAATTTCAACCGAATCGGACTGGTAGTTTTGTTTTGACCACATGTGGAAGCGGGCGTGTCGGCGAATTTTCGAAAAATGGAAAAAGAGCAATATCGGTCGGTGATTCGATTCTTGTTTTTGGAAGGGAAATCGCGCAGTGAAATCAAACAGCGCTTGGATGCTGTGTACGGTGACTCTTCTCCTTCGATGGCGACCGTCAAAAATTGGTTTAACGAGTTTCAACATGGTCGCAAGTCGGTTTTTGATGAGTCACGCCCAAGTGCCCCGAAAACGGCTACCACGGAGGATACTGTGACAAAAATCCACGATCTCCTAATGGCAGACCGCCAATTGAAGGTGCGCGAGATAGCTGAGACAGTAGGCACCTCAAAAGACCGCGTGGGTCATATCCTGCACACTAAAAGTTTTTACACCTTTAAGGGTGTAAAAGGGGTGTTTGGCAATTTACACCCTTGACTACACCCCTTTAGCACCCTTAAATCAGCTACTGCACCCACATTATTGTACCGAGAGGGGTGTTGTTTCGTGTTACACCCTCCATTTAGTGGAGGGTGTGAGAAGGGTGTAGAAGAGGGTGCTAAATAATAATATGAAAGGATTTCTGAAACCTTATATGTGGACCTCCCCATAAATGTATAGGTTAAATTTATGCTTAAAAACATCGGTTGTTAGCAGTCGTTTTTTATAATGTTAGTTGTAATTCATGCAAATAGTTGATAATAAAGTGCCTCTCCTGCGTGCAATTTTTTGTGTTCACAAAATTTTATACGAGTTCATATTCAATTTTCTTAAAAATTACTCCATCCACAAAAAATTGGAAACCAGGGAGAAATTCTGAATGCTATCATTTTTTACAAATATTTATTGATCGAAGTGTAGCAGTAAGAAAATCAGTCTCCAGTTTACTTCTGACAACACAACATGAAATCAAAATATAATATGTTTGACAAATATTCATGACATGCTGCCAGAACCTGTCACATTACCATGTCAACCTATGAAAAATATTGATTTGAAAATATGACGACATGCACAAGAACTCACACACATAAAGAAGCAGAACCCATAAAAAACCAGTCCGAGACATAAGACTTCCTAAAATATGGGCTAATGCAGTATCCTGGTGTAGATCACACAAAATCTGGAGAACCAGGAGAAAAAAGGAGACATTTGACTTTACTGTCGACAGTGACATCATTCTATTTTTACATTTATCAAAAGAAAAAAACCAAGAAAAATAAGCTGTCTTGTCCAACCATTTTAAACAATCAAAAAGCTAATTCTACTCAGTGTGTGTTGTCCAACCAGTTATCGCAGCAAGAGTCAACTGAGAAAAGGTGACAGTTGTTTTCACTGCCTGTTTTTCGACTGTCTCTCATCGTTGTTTAGCTAGTTTCTGCAGAGAGCACCAGAACTGAGTGGGCTACCATTCAATGATCCATGAAATCTCATAGCAATGAGTGACGTGCGCTTATAACAGTCTGTCCTTTGTGCTCCCGCATGTATAATGGTTCTGTTGTACAGTCTGTAAGTGATGTTACAACTTTGAATTCTTGCGTCGCACGGACAACATAGACGTGAAAGTGCTCGTCGAACCGGACTGTCTCAAGCACATTCCCCAAAGATAAAAGCACTTTGTTAACATAAAAAATTTGACATATATGCAGAAATTCGGGCAGAGCATCGTCAGGAACACTTTGGACAAGAACACATCCTGTTTTGTAGACCCTGCCTTCTATGCTCACAGAGTTCGCTACGAATGAATCAACAGTTTCAAGATCATGCTGAGAGATAAACTCCTTGACGCATTCAGGAAGATGTTCACAAAGTATGGGGCGACAACCTGTTGTGATGGGAACGCTCTTCTCACCAACAGCTGCAAAAGAGAAACACTGCAAAAACTGATGCCTCACTGCTAGACTGTGCGAAAGACTCTTAAAGTTGCGGATTTTACGAGCCATGTCTTTGAAATATTGGTGCTTTCCCTCGAAGCGCATCGCCCAAAGTTCAACTAATGGTCCAAACCTTTCCATGCACGACGGATAGTGAATAAGGTAGTGCATTTTGCAAGGAACTTTAACAGATGGGAACAATGTCTTGAAGTCGAAACAAAAAAAATGAATCTTCCTTTGCAGGTAGCCAATGTGCGAGACTGGGATTTTCCGGCTCATGATGATATCCATGATTTCGCGAAAAAGCAAGTAAAGTTGCCATACTTCGTGTTCTGTTGGAACACATTCGCCAACGAAAAAGGTTAGATGACGAAATAGGCAAAAGACCTGCGTGGCTGATCCTTTCATGGTTGCCTTTCCTTTAAGAAATTCACTAGAAATAGGCTCTGGCTTATTTCGCGCATCACAAGGGTCATAATTCCACTCACTAATTTCCTTGTTTAACTGTGCAAGAGTAAAAAGTCCTTGTGATATTAAGGAAGAAATGATGTGTCTTAGTGCAAATGGTATAACACCCTCGTGCAAGTCGTGCATAACGTCAGGCGGAAAATGCTGTGTGGCATTGAACCCCTGGCATGTAAGAGCACAAGCTGCAGTGACCCCATACAATGATGCAGTTGGCAGTCCAGCCTTCAACATGTTCATATGATGCTCGTGACCTTCCGGTGTGCGCAGCACGAAATCGGTCTCCAGGTGCTTGTAGTTGATTTCACAGTGCACGGCCATGCAGAACCTGCAAATCCTACCTTTGTTGAAACTACGTTTAAAGCCTCCCATTCTATGGCTCGACAGATTATCCCCAGTCAAAACAAAGACTGACCCTCTCATCACTTTTCCGTTTGCAACTATGCCTTCAGTTTCTAATCTGCTCACATCCTCAAGCAAAGGTGCAAGAATCTTAGGCAGACCATAGGAGTCCACATGGTGGTCATTCACTAAAAGTGCCAGGTGCATTCCTGATAGCGCAGAGCGGAACCTTGCAGGAAAATTCAGCACTGAGAAATACACGGCGGTCATCTTATGCTTTCCTCTTTTGCTGCCCAAAGGGTTGCACACCTCAAATTCATCAGTATATAACTGCAGGCAGATTTTGTGATAGTCACCTTCAAAGTAGGCATGGTCGCGAAATGCACTGCCATCAAACACAGAACACATATGGTTGTCAACCTTTGTGTAAGCATTAAAGTCACCCGATAAGGTTGGATGTTCAAGGATACACGTGAGGAGATCACAGAGCGGCACATACTCCATGGTGTCGTCTTTTCCATTGCTGTTGGTTCCTAGCACTACTGTACGGGGCTCAACAAGTGGAAGATGTGTCCTCCAGAACGCGTTCCGGCCAGCTGTCGTCAGTAGCCGGTCCAGTTCGTCAACACAGAATAGCTCCCTCACGTTGGCGGCCACCTCGTTGTTGAGCTGGAGTTGTTTATGTTCCAAAATGGATTTTACGAAAGAAATCACATCATTTGTGATTTCATCTAAGGTTGATTCTGGAAGTCGCCTTCCCTCTTTCCACTTGAGAAGAAGGAGAGCCAGCTGCTTTACACAGCCGCTTGGACCCTGGGTGGATTCACACACTTGTGAAGTCTCTGTACGCAGCTCCTCTTGCCTTTCTTCTGCGTCCGGATTACTCTGTACACCAACGTCATCACTTTGAAAGGCATCCCCAACACTCGGTGCTGCATCCACCAGTTCATTCGCTCCCACGGCTCTTTCTCTTTCGACTGATCCAGGGTGATTTCTGTACACATGTTTTTTATAGGAAGCGAAGAGTTTAAATGTCCGCATGCAGCCACTTAGGCCGCACACCCAGTTGCTTTCGTACCCATGAACTGAGTGAAAGTGCCTGAATAGTGCCCTCAACGAAAAAATGTGGGACGCACACCTTGGGCACCGGAAGTATCGGACACCTGGCATCTGAAAAGAAAGAA